TTTAGGCAGTGAACGAAAAAGAAAGTGTAAGCTTTTAAAAAATCATTATTTTCTAATCTATATCACTTTTAAAATGCTCTCAGTTTTGTTACTTCGGTCGTGATGACTTTTTTTGAGACTTTTGGAAGATGGGAATTATACTCTCAAGGTATATAGGAATACTTCATTCTACCTATAAAAAATAAAGTTTAATATCTTAGACATCTATCCATTAAAAGCATAAAAGAAAGCATATCATGGGAATTTCAACTATTAGTGTCCCAAAGGCAAACTTTTAGGTATCCCCCAGAACAAACTAAGTCCGGAAGTCTTTCTAAAGTGGCTCCTCAAAATTTTAGAGTTGCCATTTGTATCTTTCAGCTCTCTTCCTCTTCCCCCCTCATTTCTGTTCTCTAAAAGTACTGTGATAAATACGTTTTGGAGAATTCATGTTATTTTTATTTTGTGAATCTGAGAATGTTGTGCAAGCCCAGGTGACCACAAGTTAGGCTATGCTGGAGAAATGAAGTTGTCCATCTTCTGTTTTAGATCATGGAGTCTCAGGTTAAAATTCCCAAGAGCTTCCCTAGTCAATATGGGGGCTACTTGAGCTAAACAAGACTCCTGAGCACAGAGTAAAATGGAAGTGGGTCTGGGGAATTATTGGATTATACCACTTTTAATTTCAAAAACTGGCCAAAGTTAGCTAGCAAAGACCACAGTCATGGAGAAACTGGCCATGACAGACTGCATTTGATCTTTACTTCCCTCCTGTCACTGTTTTTCTCCTCCTGGTCTGTCTGAATAAAAGCATCAAAAGTGGAGTTATATGTGCTTTGCACAATACTTGACAGTCAGTAGTTACTAAATAAAAAGATTTTCCTAGAAGCATGGTGTCTATGAATATATGCACCCAATGGCTAAGAGTACAATAACACAAGCATTGGTATATTGAAGAAATAAATGTTTTGTATGGCATTAAATTTAAAATATCAGCATTTGCCCAGATTTTCTTACTTGCCTCATTAACACACTTACGAACTGGCAGGCTTGGTAAGAACACCACAGGCTCTCCTCCAAGATTTCTTATCTAACTTGCAGGCAAAAAGTCACATACTGCTTTGGCAAGGGTTTAGAAGCAGATTCCCTGCCACCACAATCCCACCATGTCCCTGGATCCTGCCTGGTTAGGAAAGCAACATGGGACAGTGGGCCCAACTCTGAATGGGGAACTGGGAGAAGCATGGAATACTAGTGGGCACCTTATCACTATCTCCTCCAAACTCTTCAGCTTAAAATCAAGAAACGGAGGCCCAAGGGAACTGTTCCAGCTCTCACATCTTTATGGCCAGAATCATAAGAACCCAGTTTCTGGTTTCCAAACTAGGACTTCCTTTCAGACAGTTGCTCCTAATGTATACAGTTGGCTTCTGAGGGTAAATTTTGACTCAGGAAACATGACAGCAACCTTGGGGCATGTTTAATGACTAGCCCTTAAGTGGCATAAAACAGGGAGCTGCCACGTTCTGATTTAAGGTTGTGGCACCCAAATCCAGAAGAATTGCAGAAGAATTGCTAACTGTTGCACCTGACATCTTTTTTATGCTTTTGTGCTTTTCTTTTTCTCTTTGCTTATACCCAATTAATTGTTAAGTATCCAAGATGCTAATAATGCGCACGAAGTGGGGCAGGGGGTTGGGGAAAGTGATGACAATCTTTAGGGAAACAAAATTTAAATAATTTAAGTGGCCTAAAATAATTCTCACTCTACTTCAAAACTACATTGTGTCAATTCACAGCTTTTCTCTTTACTATACCTGAAAATGGCCCGAGAAAGTCCTATTCTGAAGAACCTGGTTTTGGTGTATCCCAGATAAATGCCTTCTACCATTGATTGATCCTCCCTGGCTCAGTCATTTGCACGTTATCTGCTTCCTCTAGCTACTGTGTCAAAGGCCTTTAGCTGGGCTAGTCTGACTCCCTTCCTACGCTTTCTCTTCTCTAAGTTTCTCTTTGCCCAACTATTTCCAACTGTACTATTTGGTTCGTATTCCTTACCTCATTTTTCATGTCATGAATTTAAGTTGTCAAGTGGCACTAAATCTTAAAACAAATCTGAAGAATTATTAGGGTAAACTGAAAACACCAACTAATCTCTTAGCTTCTTTTGGTTATTCAATCTTGAAGTATTTGGATACCTCTTTAGGGCATATGCTTCTAATAACTAGCTGCCCTTCTCCTTGAAGACACTATTTTAGCAACAGCTGGGCCCTTAAAGTCCCATAATGTCTGTGCCAAAACATTTTAGGCATCATCTAGGCTAACTCAAACTCCTTATCTTACAAATCAATAAACTGAGCCTCAGAGGGAAGATTTTTTTCCTAAGATCTTTACCCAATAAATGATTTCTCATTTTGCAATACTTTTAAATGCTCTTTTCTTTCTAATGATAGTCTGCTTGCTACCACCTCAATTACTCCTTCACCAACTGGTTTTTAAAGGAAAGATGATGATTAATGCCCTCAAGTGATGGTGTACTTCCTTAAGAGGTTTTTAGGGAGTTACCTATTTTATTCTGTGATTTCAAGTTCCAAATTATTCATGCATTTTAACTGCATACCATGAATGTATGTAAGTAAGGGATTTCTGTAAGCATACATACTAGAGAACAAACCCTGAGATAATAAAGTGGCTTAGTAAGGAGTTTATGTCTTAATCCTAGCTCTGCTACTAACTACCTGTGACAAGTCACTTCAGGTCTCTTTTTTTTCACAAGGAAGATAAGAAAGGTGGGCAAGTGGCATGATTCTCAACTTTCCTTGGATTCATTCAAGGCTGAAATAAGGTCCAAAAATCTAATGAAAACCGAGTTTGCTTACTCACGACAAAGCTGCACAGGCTTTTTGCCAAGCTTACTTTGAAGTGACACTGGGCAGCTTGCGCTGATCAAGTTCTGATTGGCATATATACATCTTTTCAACTAAAATTGCAAACTTAATTATTTTTTGTTTGAAAGACAAAACTAAACACATTTGGCTCACAGGGAAATAATGACAAGAATGAAGCTTTCAAAAGTACAGAGGTGGGAGTGGAGGAGGAAAAAAGCGGGTTTGGCACAAGGAAACAGCAGTGCACATAAATATAAAATTTCACCAAGGAACTTCTGTGAAAGTGTCCAGATGCAAAGCACTCTATATCAAATCTTAATTCTTGAAAACAACACTTGACAAAGTAGGCACTCAGAGTTGGACTATAAAGTATTTTTTCTTTATATTCACAGTATGTATCCAACTAGATTATATTGCACAAAGAACTTAAAAGAGGGGTTCTTCAAGGAGTTTAAATCTCTTGATGCAAAATACAACAGTTCATTCAGCCATGTTCAACCTGTACACTTAAAGGGCATCAGCAGGGTGATTACCTTTGATTTTCAATCTACAGGGACTGAAATCCGAAGGCACTGCCAACTGCTGCCTCACAGCCTCACTGTGTAACTGCCAAAGAGGGAGGCTGTAGCCACCAAAGCACCCTGGATTGGGGCATAGGAGACGTGAGTTCTAATCCAGCTGGTCCCGGGTGCAATTCCCTACTCCCAGAGCAGTACTTTGCATGTAACTGATGCTCAATGAATGTCAACTGAGTGGAAATGCAAAAATATCCACCATGTGCCAATTTATATTATATAGGAAACATAAATTGTGTCCCTGCCCTCGAAAAACTAAAATACAATTATGTAAAACATGGACAGTTTGTTGGGAGGAAGACAGTGAATACTGCTTGGCAATTACTACGAGGCAAAGGATTTACAGTTGTTATCTTGAAAAAGCCTTGCAAAGTAAGTCAAACATTTCTATCTGACACATAGAAAACCAGCCTCAGAGAAAGTATATATTTGTTCAAGATCACACAACTTGTAAAATGAGAAGCGCAGATTTCAATCCAGGTCTGCAAAGTTCACATTATTCGCAGCATGCAACACATTCATATACATCAAGGCAGCCCAGGAAGAGACAGGGATTTGAGTCTAAGTTTTACTTCTGCCACTAAGCTGTTGCATATCTCTCGAGAGAGAACATTTGTTTGCATTTTTTTTTTTCCACCGGCACAACTGGAGAGCAGAGAGGTGTTGGGAGGAGGGTTAATGAACTAGATCTGTGGTTTTTTGGTTTGGTTGGCTTAGGCGGTTATCAGAATTCTTTTGGGCCAGGACTTGTTCTAATGTGGTTGTTTCCCCTCCCTGCTCTTAGAAATTATTTGGGAATGGTACCTTTAGCTATTAATGGAAATATATTATACCTCTCAAGCGAATGGGAGCAGAAAGAAGTGCCGGCTCCAAGCTCCCTCCTAGCAAGCTGAGGCTGAGAGTCTGACCCTGCTGAGCGGATGCTGCTGAAAGTTGAGAGACAACTTATTCACGGATCCATGCTTCCCTCCCAGTTGGGTGCTCTGTACCCACTGGATGCTCCCGGTTTGAGAGGAACGGGGATATGTGTCCTGCATTACTTGAGCGGCCTGCCTGGGCTCGTCTTCCGATTATAGAGACCTTCAAGAGAAGTTCGTGATGTAAAATACATGGGTTCAAATAGGGGACCGCGGACATCCCTCGCTGCGGGCGGCGGCTGCGGCCTGCCGCGCTGGTAGCGGGAACCACTTCCTGGTCCGCATCGCCCGCCCGCGTCCAAACCCCGCTGCTGCATTTTCCCCACCGCGCAGAGCCTCCGAAGCGGCAGAAGGGTCCGTCCGACTCCCGGGTGAATGTCCAGCCCGGCCCGGAGCGGGGTCCCTTTAGAGATTTAAAACACAACGCTCTGGAACTCCAACTCCCCCGGCGCCCAGCCCGATTCCCAGGCGTCGGGGCCGGGGCAAGCCCCTGCGGCTGCAGGGAAGAGGCCCCGAGCCTGTTAGAGCCCCGGCCCCGGCTGCGGTCCCGCCGGTGGCCCAGGTGCGCCGCGCCCGCCCGAAATCTCGTCCGACGTCGCTCGGCACCTGTCGCGCCCGGAGCCCGCAGAACCTGCGCTCACCTCGTTTCAGGGGCCCACGGCCCGTCCCCGCGCCTCAGGGCCCAGCTCCCGCTGCCGTCTCCACCACTGCCCCTGCCGCGGCCGCCGCCCACTTTCGGTTTCCCCGCACCGCCGGAGCCGCCCTGCGACTCGGGAATCACCTCAAGCCCCCGCCCCGCCCTGCTCGGCCCCGCCCCGCTTCGTCCCGCCCGGCCCCGCCCCGCTTCGAGGGCAACCCGGCCTCGGCTCTGCGCACGCGCGGGCGCCCCGGTCGCGTCGGCCCACGCTGGCGTCCGCGCGTGGGAAGGGAAACCGACGCCGCCTAGCGGTTTCTGCGCGTGCCCACGCACCGGCCGGCGGCGGAAGACGCCTGCGGGGAGGGGGCAGGAGCGCCTCCTGGTGGACTACGCAGGTACGCGCGGGCCGGGCCAGCTGGGACCCAGCGGGGGTGTGGGCGGCTGCTGCTATGGAGCTCACCCTCCTTCCAAACAGTTCAACTCCTGCACATTATTTTCTTCAACATCTGGAGCAGTTACTTTTTATTGCCCTAGACACCCACCCACCTTGTCCGCCCATATCCTTCGGGCCTTTCTCAAGCACCATCCTTTCAATGACGGTGGACACAGTCTCTAACATGTCAACCTCCTCCCTTGACATTCCCTATCCCCCTTCTCGGCCGTATTCCTCCTTAGCACCTATCTAGCACACTATATGTATTTTTACTTACGTTTTTATTGTCCGCTATCATCCTAAAATTAAAGCTCTGTGAGCAAAGGATTTTTGTTTGGTTCCTTAACCTATTCCCAGAGCCTAGGATAGTGCCTTGCACACATCAGCGATAAATATCTGTCAGATTTGTCCATTCATTCTAAAATTATTGAACACCTCATAAGTGAATATGTATTTCTTCTGCACATTAATTCCACCGACACGTATTGGGCACCTGCTTCAGCCCACATTGAACACTTCTCTGCATCATTTGATATGCATTTACTGAGAACCTGCTGCTGCTTCAACCAGTATTTTATTACAGCTTGACTGCAATGTATAAGACATACAATAAACTAAAGGTTTAAAATGTACAGTTTGATAAATTTTTCGTTCATATACCACTGTGAGACCATCACTGTAATATATCCATCACCCCCAAAAGTTGTATTATTTATTGTTTATAATTCTTATCTTTTGTCCCACCTTGTCCCTTGCCCCCTGAACTGTTCACCTGCTTTCTGGTGCTGTAGATTAGTTTGCTTTTTCTAGAGTGGTATATAAAACTTTTATATATGGAATCGTATGTACTACCCTTTTGGGGGGCTGTCTGGCTTCTTTTATTCAGCAAATTATGTTCATCCCTGTTGTTACATGTAGTAGTAGCTCATGTCTTTTTATTGCTGAGTGGTATTGTAGGGATGTACCAAACCTACCAGATGGCCCAGCACTTCTTTCCCAGGTATTTACCTAGGAGAAATGAAAGCATATGTCCACACAAACACCTGTACAAGAATGCTCGTAGAAATTTTGTTGATCTAGCCCCAAATGGAAAGAATACAAGCATCTGTCAGAAGGTGAATGGACAATCACCATTATTGAACACCAGCTGTTAAATAACAAATTTCCACAGAGTGTGGATAAGCCTGTGCCTGTAGAGCTTCTGATTCAGCAAAAAGGTGCAGTAGGCAATAAAAAGATAAATTGGAAGTAGATCTTGAAAACCTGATATCCAGTGCTCAGACATTTGGGTGTTTTCCCACAGGCAGTGGGGAATTGTTCAAGATTTTTGAACAGGGCTCTTCTTTAACACTGTTCTCTTTCATATCCCAGATCTGGTGTCTGACTAAGTTTACCTAAATGTCTCTCCTGAATTTCTCTGCATCTCCTTTTCTCTATTTCAGTCTATTTCAGATGCCTTTCTCCTTTCTCTCCCCTCCAGTCTACTCCAAACATTGCAGTGGATTTTTAATAGACTTTGCTATGGTCTGAATGTTTGTATCCCTACAAAATTCATGTTGAAACCTAATCCCCATTGCTGTGGTGTTGACAGGTGGGGCCTTTGAGAAGCCTACTCACAAGGCTTCATCCTTGTGAGTAGGATTAGCGCCCTTAGGGGCTCAAAGGAGCCTTCTGCCCCTTCCACTGTATGAGGATTCAGCAAGAGGGTGCCATCTTTGAAGTGGAGAGCAAGCCCTCACAAGATGCCAAATCTGTTGGCACCCTGACCTTAGACTTCCAAGCCTCCAGAACTGTAAGAAATACATTTCTATTATTTATACATTATCCAGTCTAAGATATTTTGTTATAGCAGCAGGAATGGGCCAAGACAGACCTAAAAGACAGCCAGCCCCAACTTGGTCTCTGCAGTGCTCACAACATCCTGTGGCTCCACATTTTAGATGGAAAAGATGTAAAAAGCAGCTGCCAATGGAAAGGGTGCTAGCAGTAGTAGGAAATTAAAAAAAACAATTCCAGAGTTTCATATGTAGAATAAATCATAAAATCATGTGAATTGACCCCAAGTTGAAGATCCTTTATTTTTGCAAAGATGTTCCATGTTTAGACTGTCCTATGCATGAAGAAAAATGAAGCTCTGCAGCTAGTTATTTTAAACCAGCTTTACTGATAGTTGACATATAATAAATATTTAAATGTACAGTTTAATGAGTTTTGACCAATGTCTTTAATTGTGTATCTACCACCACAATCAATATACAAAATTAGTTCATAATTCCAAAACTTCTCCTGTGCCCCTTTACATTTAATTCTCTCCCCCACCTTTATCCCCTAGCAGCTACTGATCTAATTTTTGTCATCACAGGTTTGCCTTTTCTAGAATATCATATAAATGGAATCATGCAGGGTGCAATCTTTTGTGTCTGGCTTCATCACTTAGCATAACGCTTTTGAAAGTCATCCATGTTGTTGCACATACCAGTCATTGGTTCCTTTTTAGTGCTGAATAGTAAGCCATTGTATGGCTCTATCACAATTTGTTTATTCATTCACATTTACATTTGTGTTGTTTCCAGTTTGGGCTATTACGAATAAAGCTGTTATAACAACCACATGAAGGTCTTTGTGTGGTGATATGGTTTTTTGATATAAAGACTTAGGAATAGAATTTCTGGTTGTGGGATAGGTGTATGCTTAACTTTTTAAGAAAACACCAAACTGTTTTCTAATGTAGCTTCACTATTTTGGACTCCCACTTTTACTCCCTCCTTGGCAATGTGTAAGACTTCCAGTTGCTCTAAATCTACTCCAACACTTGGCGTTGTCTGTCTTTCTAATTTTAGCCATTCCAGTGGATGTATAGGGACAGAAAACAGAGGTTTCAATTTGCATTTCCTCATGACTATTAATGTTGAGCATCTCTTCATGTGTTTCATGGTCCTTCATATGTGTTCTTGGGTAAAGTATCTGTTCTGCAAGTAGATTTTCGTCCAAGACATCAGGAGGTTCTCAGAATTACCTGGGTAGCTGACATAGCAAGGGCAGGTTAGGACATCATGGTTTTTTTGTCTTTGTGAAGTGGTCCAAGGCCCAGGGAGTTCAAGAATTCACCCTCATACCCTGGATATAATTGGATTTCAGGAGATTTAAGAGATATCAGAGATGGCACAGACTAGTTACTCTTTAGGCACAGTGGTTCTTACCTTTTTATGGGGATGTCAGAATAGATGAAAGCAAATTTTGATGAATGATCTCAGAGAGGATTTGGAGTCCTTAATGCTCTGCTGTGAACCCATGTTAAAAATTTCCTTCGAGGAAAGCATATATTCTGGGGCCAAATAGCAGAGTTTTCTAAATGAAGAGGACTCGGGCAGAAGGCATTCTTCCTCTGCAAAAGCCCAAGCGTGTCTTTGGACAACAGGAGCTGTGGCCAGGAGCATCCAGATCTCTTTTAAAAGAGGCAAGCACAATTTCCCATCCTCAAGTGCTGTAGAGAGGTCCTTTGTACTCTGCTCAAGGTGGCTTTTAGGGTAGGAAAGGTAGATTGGAGGGGGGATCAGTAAAAGCTGGCCACTAAGCAGAAGCCTGACAGGTCATTGTGCCTGTCCAGAGAAAAGAGAGAGGTTACCATGGAAAGGAAGTGCAAATCAAGGCCCAAATATGGGGAAGGAAGATGGCTTTGTTGGCAGCTTATCCTCGGCAAAGAAAGATGGACATATTTCCAGTGTGAAACCTCCATCCAAAGCCCTTCATGCATTTTTGTCCACACCTGGGAAGCCTGTTCATTTGGAGAGAGTCACATTGGATACAAACACCAAAATACCTGTACAAAGCAGGCAGGACCAATACTATTGGTTGAGTTGAATCTCTGTCCTTCCGTTCTTTCTTCTCTCATCAGCAAGCACAATTTAGAATGAGGGTGAGACAGCAAGCATGATCCAGGAACATATCTGTAGTTCATTTTGTTTGTTTCTTACCCAATAGTTCTTTTGGTCTCTGCAATACAGCCTCAGAACAATACGTTCCTCATCTTTCCTCTAAGAGCCTCTCAGACTTTATAGCCACCATAGGCAGCTTTGCCACTTGCAGAATTTAGAGTGACAACTTGATAGACCTCTAGGTGCTGTCATCTCACTTCCTATATTGGAAGTGAGATCTCACTTTCTTCTCTATATTGACCCCCAAAAGAAACCAAAAACCAGAAACAAAACTTTCATTTCTATCACTTTATGTCCCATCAAACGGACAACAGGGACTTGGTAATGCCCTTATTCAATGCCTGGAGTAGTTCCTCTCTCAGGAAGCCTTCTTCGAATCCCCCACCTGACAATCACTACTCTTTTAGCTGAGCTTCTAGAGTGCTTTGTTCTTCAAATATATTTACAGCAGAGAGAACATAACAAGTGATTTTATATCTCATCTCCCTTGTGAACAACTTGAAAAGAGTTTACATTTTATTCATCTTTAGTTGCTATTTGATTGCAAATAATTTTAGCAATACTATTTGAAGCTGAGCAACAGCATGTTCAAAGTTATGTATACAGATGGAACCCAGCCACATGAGTGCTTTTTGCTTACCTAAGGTCAGGAAAAATAGATCCACGACAAAAGGAATCTTTGGACAGATCTACTTTGGGTTAATCATCAACATCATAATCACTGCCTTTCCCATCAGCTTTAATTGCCTCATGAACAGATGCAGAGGAATTTCTAGACAACTGCATTTGTTTCAACTGAGTAAGGAGAAAAGACAAAACAAAACAAAACAAAAAACAAAAGGGAGAGCTTGCCGGAGCC